GCGCATTAACCCGCTGCATGTGTCTCTGGGCCCGCAGCGCCTGGACGGGCGGCAGTGCTATGACTACCGGAACGTCCGCATCTCCTTCGGCGCCGACTACGGCTGCTGCATCGTGGAGCTGGGGAAGACCAGGTGGGTGCCGGGGTGGAAGCATCCGCCGCCTGAGGAAAGCCCTCTCGGCTGCGGGCAGGCCGCGCTGCGCTTCGCGGCCTGAGGAAAGCCTTTCAGGCGCCGCTGTCGCTCTCGCTTTAAAGCGTTGCGTTTCTAAACCCGCGGACGCAAACGGAGTGCGTAGCGTTGCCTGTTCGGCGTCTGAAAGCCCGCTGAGATCACAGTAAGCAGGTTTTAAGGACTGACGCCTAAAAGTCGTGGTAATTCAAGGCTAGCACCGTAGGGGAGGAGTGGGAAGGGAAGGGATGGGGTTTTTCCTGTTGATTGTAGGTTACACGTAATTTATAAAATACAGAATGGTTATAGTTTTTCATCCCTTTATTCACTGATCTCGCATTACGTTTTGCGCTCTTCCAGAAATCAAACGGCCCTTTTTTTGTATGAGGAAAAATGGAATATTTGCACTTAGGTAAACATGTAGTTACAGATTCTCATGTGTTTGAGTCTTATTTGTAATCCTAAAAGACAGGAGAATGTTCTAATTTCTGCATTTTGATGCTCTCAATTGTTGTCCAGAGTTTAAACATGTATGACAGGCATTGAATGAGAAACTGTCAGGAGCGAGAAATACAAAGTAAAAGCCTAATCGCATGCTTTTTCAAAGTGTGTGTTTTGTTTCTAGTGGTAGGAGTTTTTTCCTGCTAAATTCCGTGGCTTAGTGGCCTATTTACCTTTGCAGGGTTCTTGCACAAGTCTCATGTGAACTTGTTCCCCCCAAGCCAAATCGGCCTACAGAAGGTATACTCTTCTTTAATCTTGAGCTCTCACCGATGGCTGCACCTGGTTTTGAGCCTGGCAGGTATGTAGCTTTCTTAAAAAGACTAAACAAGGATGACATAAGAGCCACTGTTTTGATACGTGTCAGTATATAGCGTAATCATACTCAATTCGGGTTAATTTTGTTTTAACAGGCAATCTGAGTTACTGGTGAAACTGAACAGACTAATAGAACGATGCCTGAGAAATTCCAAATGTATAGATACTGAATCTCTCTGTGTTGTTGCCGGTGAAAAGGTATGAAAAACTACTGATTTCAAGTGGTTTTAAACTAAAGGGTACATACGGTCTGTTTTTAAGGAGGTCTCTTGTCTTGTTTTGGAAACCAGAAGTTCTGATTTTAGGTTAATGTAAGGATCCACACATCTGACTTTACAGGTGTTTTTAACTTATGTATCTACATAGGCTTTCTGAAGTAGTTGGGACCCTGCACGCTCAAATATTTCTTTGCAGAATAAAGTTTAAATTTTACTTAAATGTTATGTGTTTTGTCATAACTAACCTGGGCTTAAATCTAGCGCAGTGGGTATCTTGGAACATATCGAGATCTTTCATCTTCTTAAGCAAAGACCTGAAGAATATATGCTGTTTCTTTTTTATGGTTCAAAAAATGAAATTGTTTTGAAAAACAGTAACTTCTGTAGAATCGCGTCACAAATCACCAAGCAGTTTTGTGTGCTTTGTCTCAGGTTTGGCAAATTCGTCTGGACCTGCACCTGTTAAACCATGACGGTAACATTATCGATGCTGCTAGCGTAGCAGGAATTGTAGCTCTGTGTCATTTCCGCAGACCAGATGTGTCTGTGCAAGGAGAGGAAGTAACTGTGGTAAGTTGTACCGGGCCGTAGTAAATGTTGTGGCACCGCAGGTAGCTGTTTCTTTCTGTCTAAAAGGGAGAATTAAATGTTCGTGTCAGCAGATAAACTCCAAGATACTTAAGTTTTAGGGTAGATGTGTTGCTATGCAAAACGTGAAAGGATAGTAAGGAAGCCTGCTGAACACAGAATTGTATCAACCTCAGTTTAGGGGCATATTAATTGTAAAAGATAAGTATTTTAAAGTATTTTGACCAAATCAAGGGTAAGGCTGATGAATGTGCTATATTTACCGATGTAGGTAATCAACAGTAAGAATTGCACAGGAAGAGTAAAAAGCATTTTTTCAATATTTAGATGACTAAACATTTGTTAGCCTTTTTTTTCTTTGTTTTTTATTTCTTTAAATTTCTTTGTACAGTATGTAATTTTAAAATGAAATGTGTTTTGTAAATAATTATCTTCTGGGCCAATTCTTTTCAAAGTACACTCCTGAGGAACGTGATCCTGTCCCCTTGAGTATCCACCACATGCCGATTTGTGTCAGTTTTGCCTTCTTCCAGCAAGGGTAAGACTTTTCAGTCTTTTGACAGAAACAGCTTATTGTCAATTCTGCAGAATTGATTTTAAATGTAGAAGAGTCCTAAAAATATTTATATTGACAAGCCAATTTCTTGAAACATTTTATCTGAAGTGAGATGCCATGGGGAGATATTTGTGTGTTCTGCACAGTGTAACTAACCAGCAGCTTTCCACAGATGACGTAGAAAACTTTCTGGGGGGAGTATACCCATAATTACTAATATGTAAACCAGTTCCTTTGCTTAATTGTTTTAAGGGTAGTAACTCACCTCAAACTTCTACTGTTGCCTTATATTTGAAAACTTGATTCTAGGACCTATTTATTGGTGGATCCAAGTGAACGCGAGGAACGTGTAATGGATGGCCTCCTCGTAATTGCCATGAATAAACATCGTGAAATTTGTACCATCCAGTCCAGTGGAGGGATTATGCTTGTACAGGATCAGGTAAATCTTCGCCTTGCCAGTCTTTCTCTCGTATATAAACTAGTTCCTGTGCTGTAATCTTGATATGGAAATATCCTTGACATTTGGAAGCTAAGAAATCAATTACCTGTCTGATTTAATTGGAAAAGATTACGTATTTTTAGTCCTAGCGGAAGAGCATAGTACTGTGTATCGTGCTGAAGAAGAGACGTAGAAAAGGCATATTGTTTGGTCAGATACGCATCTTTTTTTTTCCCCCCTGTGGTTTGGCTGAGGGAGTCTGTAAATAAATTCAGACTGCACTCTCGTGAATAGTTAGAGGCTGTTGAATTAACCTTTTGCATCAACCTGTAGTGTATCCAGTCCCTCCTACTAAGATGCCATATTTTATTTTAAGTGTTTGTGACTCCTATGATGGTCTACAGTTTTAGTTAAAAACATCTTGCTTTCATGATCGTAAACTGTTGTTGTATGTATAACAAACAGGTTCTGAGATGCAGTAAAATAACAGCTGTTAAGGTTGCAGAAATAACGGAACTAATTCAAAAGGCCTTGGAGAACGACCAGAAAGTTAGGTGAGTGTTTTGGGAAGGAGGGGAAATGGGTATTTTTAAGAAACGTACTAAAAAGTAACGTCAACCTGTAGTTTGAACAGCAAATGGTTTTCACTTGTATTTGTTTTAAATAGCAAGTATTTGTGTATTTGAACGTGAAAAGAGAAAGCATTTTTAAGTGTGAAACATCCTGAAATAATGTCTGTCACTGAATGACTAGGAAAGAAGGTGGGAAGTTCGGCTTTGCAGAATCTATACCCAACCAAAAGATCACTGCCTTCAAAATGGAAAGCGCCGCTGTTGATACTAACAATGTGGAAGAACAAGCAGAAGAAATCATCACTAAAGCTGACCCTCCTTCAGAAGTGTATCTTTTCTGGTGTATTATTCAGGGGAAAACCAGGCTTCCCGTCCCCTGCATTAGCACTGCTAGAAGCTAAACACGCATCCAAGATTCCTCACAGCTTAGGTAGCCTTATAGCCTTCAGAGGAAACATCGACATCGTATTGGTTTTGGTTCTAACTGTTTTTAGGTTAACTGAATTCCTAGCGTAAAGTGCAAAACTGAGGTCTGAAGTGACTGATTGTTACAGTAGCTGGAGAAGAAGTACTCTTTCTCAACTCCCCTTTAAGGATGTTCTCCCCGGGGAGAAAAGATACAGCTTAAAAAACAGCTGGTTTGCTCTCGGGATACAAAGAGCTTACCAGCAAACACCAAGATTTTTCTTAACTACTTCAGTTTTGCCAAACCGATATTGCACACTCCCGGGACAGCCCAAATTGGGGAAGGAATAGAGAACTCCTGGGGAGACCTTGAAGAATCCGAGAGGGAAGAAGCAGCGGAAGAGGAAGGTGAAAGTGAGGCTGCTGCTTTTGAATGTCGGGAAATGGAAACTGAGGATACAAGTACGATGAGGGAAACTAAGAAGGGTAAGTATTGATTTAGCTTGATATCGGATATGCTTATTATATCGCTTTAACAGTCTAGAATTAAAATGTGACAGAGGTCCTTGGCGAGAAAGGAGAACCATCGTAGCCACTTCCCACTTGAGTGACGCCCATTTGCTACTTTCACTTCACCTGGTCACTTCTGTTTTCTTCAAAAGAAAACTTGATTTCTGTAGTATGTGGAGGGCTCCAAATTAAGCACTAGCCACTCTGAATGTTTCTTTTTGAACGCTGTGGTTATTAGTTACAGAAGTTGTTCGTACAAAACTGATCACCAGTTTGTGGTTGGTTGTCGGTTGGTTTGGTTTTTTAGATGAACCTATTGTGCTGTCCGACAGTGAAGAGGAAGAAGTTGTCATTCTGGAACCACAGGAACTACCAAAGAAAACAAGGTAACCATCATGTGAAATTAAGAGGGGAAAAGAGTTTGTAAGGAGTATTTTCAGGAAGCACAGGATTTAGGCAAGGCCAAGAAAGGTCTCAATTGATCAAGGGGACTACAGAGATAGCCAAGAGCAAGGAAGTTTAAACCTAGGCTAGTTTGCTCCTGTCCTAGGAGGCCAGTCATCCTGGCTGACCTGCAGCTGTGTGAAATGCTCAGATACTTGACTAACCTTCATCATTCCAAAGGGAGCGATAGCATAAAAGTGGATTTGAATCAGCTGCTCCTTAGAGATGCTGCAGAGATTCTACACGCTACACTACAGCTAATCTTAAGTTTTATCTCCAAGAAGTGAGATTTATTGCTGTATCCCTGCACTAGCCACGGAACCCCTCGTCGGTGTGCGTAGTACACCTTCTAGAAACCAAGTGTGAACTTTGCACTGAGCATGGTAGACGGTTGCCCTGTTACGGATGATCAGCCTGTGTCCTTCTGAAATAAAACTATTATTTGGTACGTTCCTTTGATACAAATGTTGTTTGCTCACAGAACACAGACCAACTCGAAACAAGAAAATACAAGTAAGAAAGCATTTAACAAAAGGAGAAAAAAGAAGAGAGCTGCTCGTTAAAGCCATCATCCCTCCTTCAGAAATGCTGTATAATACATAATTTGGTCTATCATTACTGAACTTATTTTTGTAGATAATTTTGTTTCCTCTCACCCCGTATCTGGTCCTGCTTTTATGTATATTTTATAAAACTATTGTACGCAGCTTTAAATAAAAAAAAATTTGCATGTAAGTGAAATTCCGTGGTTAGCATCCAGCTGCAGCAGAAAACTCACTAGTTCAGCTTGGACTGACTCAAGTCACACAACTCGAATTGCGGAGGTAAGATGTGTAGTTTTCTTAACAAAACAGCCTCTGCCATTACTGAAGCGAGCCCTGTGTAGTCAGAGTTCAGGTGGTAAAAGGAATTATGGCCCAAGTTTAGTGCCAGGGAAAGCTGCTTTTAATTAGGGGAGCTATTACCACATCTTGGAAGTGTCAGACCTTGGAATGTTCTGCACAAGAGGAAACATTGTGCTTGTGACTAAGACCTTCTTGCCTGTGTCGCTCCACATCTTGCCTTTCACTGAAACCGCTTTGTATAAAAATGAACGGAAATGCGCGTACTTCACAAAACAGCATAGAACTTCTGCGAAACGTTCATAAGAGAAGCAACTCATACTTCAGCAATGGAGTTTTTTCTTAAAAAGTTTAATTTAATATTACATGCAACAGACAGGAATGCTTCGTGAACTATATTCAAAGAATTATGCTCTGAATTTAGAATCGAGGGAAGCAAAGAGACGAGGAAGTTTCCAAAATATCTGACCTAGCCGCTTTGTTCAAAAACCAAGTCAAACTGGAAACATGCACGTATTTACAAGAGCAAAGCAGGACTATTTTACATGTGACCTTAGTATTTCATGACATATGAACAGGAGAGAAGTTACTGTTGCAGTTATTACATTCCCCAAATCCGGTTTAGAATTTAATGTAAAAAAAAAAAAAAAAAAAATTTGCTCCCAGCCAAGCAAAGCTTTAATCAAGTCGTGCCCTTTCAGAAAGGGACAAACACAGAAAACCCCATTCCTCCGGGAACTGAACCAGTGCATTTTCGTAGTGTCGGTTCTTCCAACCCAAAGTCACTGTCGGGAGTGCAAGAACGAGTGAAGATTCAGTTTCTTCTTACTTCTGCAGCACCACGAGTCCTTAAACTTCTTCAGGAAAAAGAACAGTATTCTTTGCACTGCTGTTTCTCTCTTCTTCACACATAATGTCTCATACCCTACGTTCCTTAGAGGCTTTATTTTGAAAGGACTAGAAGTTAAACCAGATAGGCAAAACAGTAGTACAGTATAACCCGGGATATTTTGTTCAAAGCTTAGTAGCAAGAGCTGGAATCATCCCATATTAACTTCGGAAAATGAGAAGGCAGAAAAAGATGGTACTTATTGCAGCAGCAAGAGCTGTGGGTGAGGAAGGAGGAACACAGTCATCCCGGGCAGGGATGCCAGCCTATGACACAAGCATTATTTTTGGGCTGTAGAGGAAGTCATATCGGTACGTTGAAAGTAAAGCTCGGGGAGCGAGGGAGACTTTGTGCTATGGGAACAGTAACAGAACAACTTCCACTGAAAATGGAGCAAGGAGACATTTCATTAAGCAGTAAATTAATACTGTAAGCCACTGTAGCCCTTTCACTTAAGTACTGCTACTTGCTCTTTTCTGGGGAAAGTAAGTCGTAAGCTGCCTTTAAATGACTCTTCTTCCAGTGTTCATATTTCTCAGTGGTCTTGGAAAGTTTCCAGCATACACCACAAAAAAAGAAGGGGAAGGCAGAAGCCGGTTTGTCAGGAAGAGCGCTGCGCTCTATTGTCTTCAAAGACTGATCGCCAGTCAGCATTTTGAGTTGCCCTTCCAAGGTCGCAAACTGATGTCGCAACCATGGCAAAGGTGTTCCTGTATATACAAACTCCCTCTCCTGCGAGGTTAGAGCATTTCCAACACCAAGCACCAGACGTGATACACCGCGCAGTTTTTTCCCCCAACTAGTTTTCGCTTCCCAGTGGCAACCTACTGCAGTTAAACTAAATACAGGCTGTTGGAGAACATGGTAGGCCAATGAAATACGGTTCTTCATTAAACATTAGAACACGTATAAAAGTCAAAGTGCATCCCAAAAAGCTCAGACTGGCCAAAAAAGGCAGCCTCTGCTGCATACTTTTGTCTTGACCGGATAAGCCACCACCACTTGGCCCGGTCAGTTTTGTAACCGAGCTGGTTCATGGTGGGCTCGGACTGCAGAACAGGGGTGGGGGCAGAACAGCAAGTTTTTAGTTACTGGGTTGAGACACGCGAGCTGTCTCACTGTAATGCACTCTTGTCAGCTTGACAGAGGACTGATGATTTCTTTAAAATTTATGTTAAGTAGCCCAGACCGTAACAGCTGTTCGGCATCTGTGAAGAATTTATACTGCGACCTGCTGGGTGTCCAGATAACGAGACAGACAGTGTTGAATCAACTTCAAGTTGAAGTGGCATGGGTTTCACAGAGCAGCCCTTGCCAAAAAGCTTTAGAAATGAATGCCAGTTTAAGGTGTTAGTACTGCCCCTCAGTGGTTTTAAGGTATTGGCAAGACCGCTAACATCAGATGTAAAAATTGTTTATTGGCCAACCTGGAAGTGGCTTAATTAAACCCACTTCCATGCACTCACTGCTTTACATGCAAAGAACAGCAGGTACAGGGCAGCATCACTCCATTTACACAGGTCGAAGGTAAATGTCCACTTGATCTAATGCCCATTATGTGCTAGTTTGCTCGTGTAACAGTTCTAGAACTAAGGAAAAGTAAGACCAGTCGGTCTATGTTTTTGCTGCATGCCGCAGAGGAACCCTTTCCAAGCAAGAGGGAGGTACAGAACTCCTACCATTCTGCACCTAGCCCACCCACGCCAGAAGACGTTCCCTCCTCTTGGGGGCACAGAGCAGTTAGTTCACCCTCCTGCAGCCTAATCCCTCCACCGCCCCTAAAGAGGTGCCAGGTAAGCAGGCTGCTGACTGTAATTTTTTTAGTAGATATCGCTGGGCTTTCGGGACAGCTGACACATCAGTGGGAACTCCATGGGTTTAAATTAGTATCAGTTTTGCACTTTGACTAGAAAATACCTATAGCAAGACCATTTTCTACGTCCTGGAAGAGAGAAGTATGAACTGGTGTGCTGGTTTTAGCCGTGCAGTCCCTGCAGCAGAGCGTTCAACCTTTAAACTGATGGAGATCTGGCAATACATTACATAGCAATCGAGGCTTCCAGTAACTGGCACATCCTAAAGAGTCTCCCAAGAGTCGATGCCAGCAAGGTGTCCTCCTCATAGCTATACCGTTTCTTCCAGTATTATAGCCATTAAGCCACATTTTGGATCTATACTAAGTCTCAGTTTAAACTAGACAGTATAAAAATGCTACAAATACTGCTGTGGAATCCAAGTCATTCTTACTTGGAAAGAGAAAAAGCCCTACTATAATAATGCACTGCTAATATTAATGTTTAGTCTATAATTAGATAAGGAGTCTCAGACTTCACTTGGTCTGCATGGTTAATTCCGGGCTTGAAGAGAACATTTTTATAAAAACCCAGCTAAATATTTTAACAAGATTGCATGTACAAAAGATTTACATTAAAACCACATAAAACTAACTTCATAATTAAGCTTTTCAGAACCTGTATTAATATTCCAAGTGATCACATCTAGAATTTTGAACCATGTTTAAAACTGTACATCATTTTCTTGTAATATACATCTTTTTAAAAGATCAGTCTCTTGATTATTACAATAAGCTTAGTGTCTCTGGTGGGTCAATAAGCGATACTCCATGGTACCTAGAGAGGGGAGAAAAAGACGCAGGATGTCATCTTGCTCAAGTGCTCTCTGCTGTGAAGAACAGCATACATACTGCAGTGAAGCACATTTCTCACAAGGCAGAAAACATTTCGGGGCTTGTCAGCTGCCGTGCCGACACAGATTTTTAGGAGCGTTAGGTACCATATCTCCTGCCTACCAACTGTAGGAATGTCAAGAAAATTCCTCCAGTTTCTACCTGACAGTTCAGGCAGCGATAGCAGGCCTGGTGGTGAACGCGAAGTATTGCTCAACAAAAAACATCGTGCAGAAACCTGGGGAGCCTTGTCACCATTTCACTTACATGGCAGATTTGGCGAGCTGAGTCTGCCTGAAGACTCGGGATACACCCCACCCCGTTAAGCGGTTACGTGCCAGCACAACTCGGGCGTAACATACCAGCTTCTCATAGGTCTCTACAGATACTCACTTTGTACTCTTGTACTTTTCCCTTATGGACTGTTGTGTGTGCTGTGCTGCTTTGAGGTAGGTCTTGTGTAGGTCCACGAGGCAAGGCTTGATGTCTTCAAGGGTGTAGCCTGTTACTTTGCACAGGGATTCAGGCTGAGGGAAAAAGGAAAGGAAGAGGGACGCTTGAACGTTTCTGTCTGCTTACGCCGACGACCACTGGTGTTTTTAGCTTCCTGTGGAAACTCTGTTGTTCTAGTAGGTTGGCAGAGTGTCGTTTTCTCAAGCACGAAGTAGTTTAATACTCACTGCTCAGATTTTAGCAGTTCATGTAGATTTACAGTAATCCTGAAAACTATCACATTCTAAACAAGTATTCCTTGCCTCCAGTGCCTAGGCTTTCTTACCGCCCACTTCCTCATCACAAGGAAGCTGCTTACAGCTTTGAGGAGGATCACCAGAAGGGAGCGCATCGCCTCCTTCCAAGAAAAGGTGTCGTCGTCGTGTCTCCCCCCCCCCATTTTCCAAATACCATAGGGAGCAATCCCTAATTAACAGCCTAGGAGTGCGGAGGGGCTGCGACTCCTGCAGCCCAGGCCCCAGCATTCAGAAGTGCGTACGAATACACTAAACACGCATAAAGGTGCGTGAAGGCTCGAGTTTTAGTGTCACATACCCAAGTTTGTCCAGTGATCGTATAGCCTGCTAGATGAAATGCTGCAGCAGCAATAACTGACGGCAAGTATTTCAGGTAAGGATCAGCATCAATTAGACTCAGCTCCCCAAGGTACTGCAAGGGAAACGAGAGAAAGGGAATCGTCTGCTTCCAAAAGGAAGTAGAAGAGCATTTAACAGTTGCACTAGAACCCTAATTTAAGCTTCCAATCCTGCCATCAGTTGGAGGAACAGCTTTTACTAGTTGCCACTTACTTTCTCTTTTAGCATCTACTGTCAAAAGTGTTCCCAACGCATGCTTTTTCAACACCACATTTTACATTTGGAGGTATATAAGATCTAGAGGGAAGAATGTAGTCTGGTCTGACCTTTGCACAATGAGACAAAGGCTTCTATTTAGGAGCTCTGGCACCTGCCATACAGTTAGGATTTAATACAACTTTAGCCGAAACGTTACCTGTGCTCTGCTTTAGAAATTAGCCTCTGGATTTAGAGTTCACTGCTCGTTGAGGGGAAAACCAAAACAAAAGTCCTTTTTAGCCCAAGTGGGTGGGTAGGTGTTGCAGTTTTAGATAAGAAAGAGGGAAACACATCTAGCAGCGAAACAAACCCCAAATTAACATTCATCAATCTCAGCCTGGCTCAAGCATGCACGCTTACTCAGAGCGGGCAAAGTGCCAGCCTGTGATAGGAGCGGGGTATCTCACACAGTAAGCGGCAATAGGAGTGACAGTTTCCAGTGGCGTGGCCCCACTTCCAGAGGAGCCCGCGTCACACTGCACACACGACTCTCCAGAACTCGCCCGGAGAGACTACGCATTTAAAAATGGGAGGAGGCAGGGAACCCCGGACTGAAGAATCCTTCACACCACTTTTCTTTTCTACTGGGACTAGGAAACAGAGCTTGTAAAGTGCATTAATAGTAATAGGACTCTCCAGTTACACGGGCCGAGCTAGTAATTCTTGCTTACCATTGACAGGCTCTCCACTTTAGCATTTGTCTGCTGATGTAGGAAGTACTGAGTGAGGAACTGGTTGATTGTTGGAGCTGCCAAGTCAAACGACAAAACCTTCAGAATTAAGTGCTCCATCCTTAGAACCTGCTTCTTGGTATAGGTGTCATCTGTGATGTAGACAAACTCTGCTACTTCAGGAGGGTAGATTTCTTCAAACTTTCTACCAGGAGAAATCGTTATGAGTAAATCATTGAGTACTAGAGAACCAGACAACCAGCAACATTTAACGAAAGCCAGCATGCCAACTTAAATTCTGACTCGTGAAGTAGCTGGGCACTGTTACTGAACAAGCTTGCTGCCCTTGGTTCAGTAGCTCTGGAATCAGCAGAATTTGAAATTCCAGACCTACAATAGCCTGGTATTTTAGCACTAAGCAATTTGGGACTCAGAGTTACTGAGATTCCAAAAGAACCCACTAAACTAATAATCAGTGCAAGCAAAACTTTCTTTTCGCACGCCTTGTGCATATTCCCTCAAACACTGTTTAGAAGCCTGCTGCTACTGCAGCTAGAAATAATGAATCCTCGCGTTAAGGCAATCTACAAAGATAGCCTAGAACCCCGCTTGCAGAGTTTCGTACAAACTGCCAAGCTTTTAGGTGGGTAACTCCTGATTTTCCTTCTAGTGCAAAGCCCTCCCCAGCCAGTCTGGCTATAGGCAACAGAAATGTGATAACCACAAGATTTCCACCAGTACGAGACCAGCAGGTGGAATTTTAAATTAAGCAATTTCACTTACGATGCAAGCAGCATAGCTGCAGTACCCACAAGCTGAAGTTTTCCTCTCAGAACAGACATTGACGAAAGAAACCTATCAATGTAATTTACAGCTAAGTGCAGGGTTTCGTTCTGTAATTTGTATTCTTCTCCAACTTCCACCAGCCAGTCCACAAGAATAGCCCGCATGTTGTTTGTGATATCAGGTTGCTTCTTCATGTAACCCATTTTAGGCTTGCATTTCACCTGTAGGTTTAGATGACAGATAAGATTCAGTTTGGACTAAGTGCCGGCAGGGAAACAACTGTTTAAGCTCCATTTACCACAGTTTAAACGGATCAGAAGTAAACAGCGGGAAGTCTAGGATCAGTAAGTTTTATTTCCATAATCTTGCTTTCCGGCTTCTGTTCCGTGCATGGCACAATCAACTTTATCACAAGAAACCAGTCCTGCGTTCGCAGCAGTGGACACGGCATCTTATTTCTCTACGTCTAGCAAGCTTTAGCTTAGTCACTGTAACAGTGGCTAATATTTAGATGCATTTCTCAACCCCGAATTTCTCCCCCATAAGCTGCATGCAAGTAGAAAAGAGACAGCAGCTCACCTCCATTTCCCTAAGGTACGTGTGGATATCGCTGATATAGTCTGGCACGTTATTAACGTTTGGTTTTTTCTCTTCTGCTTCCGAGGTTATTGAAATATCCATAATACTTGGAGAATCTAAGCAGAAGATAATAGCCACGTTAAAATGGGCACCATCCGACCACTCCCTCGCAGCACGGGGAGCTACCCTATTCTGCAGTACGTCGATGGTGGCTCTCCAGGACTGCTGGGCCTCTTGCCTCCGAGGCAGGCAGAGAGGGCAGACTGTCACTCAACTAGCCTGGGAGTTGAGGAGGCTCTAGGGAAGCCAAAATGTTACTGCAACAAGGAAGCTTCCCATTCCCCTTTCTCTTCTTCCCCCTAGGAATAAAGGGATGGAAAACTCTTTTGCAATTATGTAGTGCTCAGTGCATCCTGGGTTACCTTGTTACACAGATGTGAGTCCTGCAAGCTTAGCTACCGCGGCTTAAAACGGGGCTGGAGTACCAGAGCTTTTGGTAGGCTGCAGAAGTGGACCGTGATGAAATCGGCCCTCTGATATTCACGTGCGTGTTAAAGAAGATGGATCTGACAGCTCCCGTTTCTTGTGTACTGGGAAGAGCTCACAACCCTTGCACCAGTACAGGGTATTACCTGGGAGAAAAGTCCATGAAGTCTCAGGATCTGCCTGAGCAAAATCCCCTTCACTCCGTAGCGGTAGCAAAGGGCGAGGCTTTAAGGGCTGCTCTTCTTGCCTGTAATCTGGCATCTCTCGTGAGGTACCAATAGTTAAGGTTAAAAGCGTAAAACTACCTACAAAGAGCAGGGGATAGCGTAGAGGCTCAAGTAATTGATGGCCAGCTAGGAAAGCTGTCGTGTCGTATCGTACTGGCGGGCTCGAAGGAAGCAAATTGGTTTCAGCAACTGAAAAGTTATCTTCCGAGTCAAACCAAACCAGTCTACGCCCCAAAGAGCTTCGGGATCTACAGTCCTCCTCCAGCTCGCTCTGAAAATCATTCCCTAGGTAAACACCTCGGCACAACCCTGCTCACCTCCGTGCTTTCTGGGGCAAGGGCCCCGCAGACTCGGGCGCTGCCCGGGGCCGCTGCAGAGGGAGCAGGTGGGACGGGGCCCGCGGAGCGCACCCAGCGCCCGGGGGGCGGCACTGCCCTCCCAGCGGGCGTGCAGCTCGGCTGGCGGGAC